GATTCCCCTGTACATACCAAGAAACGTCATGATTTCAGTGATGGTTCCATTTCATGGTGCAAACTGGATCTCGTAATCACCCACAATATGTGTTACGTGTTTTTTAAGGGTGCCCCTTTGTGGTCTGTTTTCGACGGAAGCGACAGGAAAACCGAAGCCATTTTGGTGGGTTTCCAAACCACAAGGTTTTTTGAAAGGGTGCCCCTTCGTGGTCTGTTTTAAAGGGACACCTTTAGTGGGTTCCCTAAAGTAAAGGACACCCATATACCTTTGGTTTAGGCCAGTGCAACCGGTCTGTTTTAAAGGGAAGTCACTGGAAAACCCGTCTACACAATTTGTGTGTCCCTAAAACAGGACACCCATATATCTTATACCTGGAGTCTCCTTCTGACCCTTCAAGCATGGGTCAATACCAACATTTTGGGTAATGACCAACCATTTTTTATTCGGGTCAGATTCGGAGACTCCAGGTACCCCCAGTGAACATCCCAATCCAACCACTAAACTTGGTTCTAAAATGGCTGGTGAATTCACCTACCAACCAAAAATGATCCTTATTTTTGCCAGGTTTGTGGAAAACCAAGACGCCTTTGCTTAAAGTAGGCCTCCGACGCCTTTCCGCGGCTTGCTCGCGCGGAAGTTGCGCGCGGAAAGCGGCCGCCGTTTCGGAGGCCCTGCCACGGACCCAAAGTGGTCACCAAAGCGGGGGGCGCCGAGTGCCTCCCGGAGGACAGGCGGGCGATTTGCGGGTTGTCGGGTTTTCGATGCGGTCAGGCGATGGGTTTCTAGGTCCCCCAGTGCCCTTCTCTCCCTTTTTTGGGGGAGGGTTCCCCTACTAAAATCGACTACAGAAAAAATAGGGTACCTAGAGTCTCCATGACCCTTACAAAAATGGTTGGTCATTACCTAAAATAATGGTTGGTCATTGACCCATTTTGTTTTTTCGGGTCAGATCCGGAGACTCCAGGTACCAACTTATTCTGTCCTCTCTACTGAAGGAAGGTTTGAGGGATGGGAAGTCCGGAGGAGTCAACCCCGAAAGGTCAGGGTTGTTCGGTGGAAAGGTGGGGTTCCCGTTGCTTTTACGCGTACCTGGAGTCTCCATGACCCGAAATAAGAATGGGTCAATGATCAACCATTATTTTAGGTAATTACCAACCATTTTTTCAGGGTCATGGAGACTCTAGGTATGGTTGGGTTTGGTCAGTCTGCAGCCTTTTGGGGCTCTAGGCAGTTTATGAATATGAATAGTGGGACGCCGATGGATTGCGGGAGCTACCTTGTGCTTGGATGGTTGTTGCCTGGGTGTGGTTCAGTTTCCGGGCGTGAGCTGTCCTGAAAGACCCCCCCCGGGTCAGCACTAGAGAATGTTGGGATTGTTTGTTTTCAGATTCTTGACCTCTCCCGTTCCTGGTTTTTATACTTGGGTTGGACCATTTGAGTTGGCCAAGCAGTTTGAACTTCCCAGTGCTTCCAGGCGAGGCAAGCCACAAAAGGATCGGGGTTCCCATAATGTAAATCCTAGAGGTAGCCAGATCGATGGGATACCTACGCTAAAGTGGGAAACACCGGTCTTGATTTTGTGGCCAATCAGCTTAAATTTGTTGTTTTTTTCTACCAGACACATTTGTCCACCCTTACTCAGATGTTAACAAAACCCAAATGCTTGCCCAAAGAAGCCCGGAGCTTTTTGCCTTGAAAGGCATGGTCTTTGGGTCCCTGATGTTTTCGTTTTGATCATGTTCAAAGAACAGAGGCTGGCGGAACTCTCGTGTTTTCAGATTGCTGCTACACCTGGGCTGGTGTTTTTGGGCTTCCGTTTCAAGCTTCACTTGGCCACGATTTTCCCCATCTTCCGGGCTCGATCTTTACTGACGCCGGTGCCTGGTTCGATCCCCAGACGCGCGAAAACGAGGGCGCGCTCCAGGTGCAGGTTCCAGGGCAACGTGGATTGCGTTTGGGATGCCGCGGGCCTGGCGAAACGGTTGTCTGCTGACTTTTTGTCAGCCGCCCGAGCTCACCGAGGGGATTGGCTCACTTGATTTCATTAACTTCAAACTGTTGGGGGCGGAAGACCATTTTAGTGGCAAACAAAAAGTTTGGTTACTTTGTTTGGCCAGTCTCGATCGGAAGTGAGTATTGAGGAGTACTGGACGACAAATTATTCGCCTTTGGTGTTTTTTAGGCTATCCGGTACCCAGTGCAGGCGTTTCGCCGCTATAGGCAACCCTTTAGTGGTAGTTTCCACAAAACCCCGAAAGGGTTGCTCACGTAAACCCCGGAATGAGAAAAATCCGAGTTTCTTTGGGGCGTCCCTGGATTCGTGGGACCCCCATCCCCGAAAAGAACAGGCCATGCGTTTCTGAGAGCCTCTCGGGTGAACGCTCAAATCCAAGCTTGTTGCCCGGAGGCTCCAATTCGATTGATAAAGGTTGCCTTCAAACAACCTGTTTTTTTTTTGACCCCAAAAAAGCCACTTCCGGGGTGTCTGAGGGGTCGGGTCCATTGAACGCCCCTCTGGGTGGTACCAACTCGCCTGGGCCTAACCCATTTTGGAGGGGCCCAAAACCCACCGGGTCAATGGTCAAATCCAAATTTCTGTGGACGTGGAGTCTCCATGACCCTTTAAAAATGGGTCTCTGACCCTGTTATTTTCCCAGAGGGTCCAAGTATCTTCTAAGGAGGTACTTAGACCCCTTTTTACTCCCCAAAAGCCATGCTCAGGAGGTACTTGGACGGAATGACCAAGCATTTTTTAAGGGTCATGGAGACTCCAGGCCCAAACTCGTTGTGTTGCCTAAGGACTGGTCCCAGTGGAGCAACACCTGTTACAACGTGGTGATGGACCAGCATGGCTCCCAGCTTCGGGCGGACGCGGACTGGAGGACTTGCAGCACATGGAACGGATGACGCCCTGCAAATCCCGAGATTTTGTCATGCCACTGAATTATACATGCAGTGACTCATGCTAGTTGGAGGTGTTTGCCCATGAAGCAATGTTTGGGTGATAAATGACCCCCGGCATGGGAGTGGGCTTGTCGAAACTTAGATTCTGGGTTCAAAAGTATTTGTATCGCAGAAAGGCAGCCATTTCTCAGAAGCATGGACCATGATAGACTCCTAGGTCCTAAGAGCACCCCACACCTGGCTTGCCTTACTTACAACCATTTGGTTTGGACTTCGTACGCCTATTGTACAGCGAACTCACCTGCATTTGTCAACCACGTACCAGAACTTTCTGGGTGGCCCACAAAAGAACCACGCTCATCTCTCGGTCGCTGAAGGCGACATCTTGCAACTTGATCAGGCAAGACAGCACATTCCATTCTGTGCTTTGTACACCTGAGGGTTCCTTGCAAAGGCACACATGATGATGTTTTCAGATATGGGTGTGTCTTCAAATTGGCTTAAAGCCAACCTGAAAAAGGTTACCCTGAAAACAAACAACCGACACACGTGCGGCTTTTCGGTGATCCCATGGTTGCAGTCCAAAGAGGCCACATGGCACGGATCGTCGGCAGGAATTTGCCAGGATCGTCGGCACGTCCCTGTGTTCCAATGAGCCATACCTGGGGGAGCCATGGGAGATATATACCCGGCACGCTCCAAATACCCGGCCGTTTTTTTTTCTGGTATGTTGGTGTAAAAGTTGGTTTTCCATAATAAATACCTCCTTTCTAGGAGAGCGTCGACATCATACCAAAAAGAAACAGGTAACTGAATGATTCCCGAGCCATTGCAAGGGGAAGCCATGGGAGATTTATGGGCAATAATGGTCCTGAATGGCCCGCTTTTGGGCTGCAATGGTTGCCGTTTCTATGGCTCCGAATCAGTCTGTGAGACTAGGTCTTCCAGTAGTGCCCTTCTCTCCCTTTTTTTCGGGGAGGGTTCCCCTACGAAACCAGACTACACAGAAAAATCGGGTGCCAACTTCTTCTAACCTCTCTACTGGAGGACCTAGGAGAAATCTAATCTTCCTGGAGTCTCCTTTTGACCCTTAAAAAATGGTTGGTCATTACCTAAAACAATGGGGTCATTGACCCATCTTTATTTCGGGTCAGATGGAGCCTCCAGGTTGGTCGCTTTCCGCGCCAAAATTTTGGGGCCGGTTTTGCCTAGTCCACGTGACGCCAGAGCCTCCGAGCCCAACCCTTCTGGACCAGACCGGCCTTGTTGGTTGAAGGGAACCCCGAAGAAGCTGAAAAATGGGCATTGCCCCACAAGTATGGGGTGATGTCCCTTTTTCATGGGTGTAGTTTGAGGGTCTGGTGGTGGCATGTTCGGAAATGGGCCAACCAATTCCTTTGAGCAACGCAGGTTGTCGCTTCGCTTCGCTTCGCGTTTGACTCCGGCTCAGAGTGGCAGAAACGACGGCGATGGGAACTTTAGATCGGGAGTTGGATTGGTGGCTCCCAGCCATCCACTTAGCTTTTTAGTTGTTGTTTAATTGTGCTTAGTATTAGTTGTCTTTAGTTGTTTTTAGTTGTTTTTGGTTGGTTTTAGTTGTCTGTTAGTTGTTTTTGGTTGGTTGAGTGGTATATAGTTTCCATTTAACCCACAACAGGTTCTCAACTTGAGAAGGTTTACCGGTTTTTAGTTGGTTTGGTGGTTGAACTTCAACTTTGAGCAGGGAATCTCTGGGCCGCCCAGGACTTTCAGGAGTCCTGGCTCGCACGGGATATGTGCCTCAGACTCTTTTCATTTGATGCCAGTGTTCAGCCCCATTGCCATGAAACCCTGGACAGGGGGTTGCCTTGAAGAGGATCTTGGCATCCCGCTGGTGCAATGTCAGGAGGGCTAGCTTTTGATTTCCACTGCCCTTTGAAGAACATAGAGTGGGAGTGTTGATGGATCGGTCCTGACTTCGACACCGGTGTGATCTAGGGACAGATATAAACTTTAGGGGAACAGACGTGAAGCCCCAAAATGTGATTGTTCAATCTTCCGGTTTCCTTCTGAACGACACCAACTTCAAACAAACTAATCCCTACAGCTTGTGGAAATCGCTTACGTTTCGCATCCGAGCTCCGACGCGCCATGCGCCGGGACGCAGTTGTGGACATAGGCGCGGGAATGTCCCAGAAAGACTCTGACTGGTTGAGACAGGTTCGATGAAAACATCTATACCCAGAGGGTTGCTTGGTGGCTCCTGATGGCCTTTGGGGGGTAATCAGGAGGTCGTTCAGTATCTCCTTAGACGATACTTGGGCCTGTGGTCCAGATTGACTTCTCGAAGTGAGGTTCGGTCCAAGTTTCCTGATTTGCCTATGGTCCAATTGCGAGGGACATGGCGGAACTCACCAAGTTTTAGCCTTTTGATTGGCAGAAGTGAGCTGGGTGACTCAGTATGAGGAACGGTCGAAGCTATTGGTAGTCTATTTTCTACGGTGCACTTGAGAGGGACATGTATTTTTCCTTCGTGTGTGTCTTTTTTGAGTTGCCCCTTTGCACACTTCCGAGATTCTGTTTCATATTTAGTCTAAGGGAACCCTCTGCAACTAAGCCCAGGTGGTATCCCCAGCAGCAGCACCCCTCGCACCCTTGTGGGATTACCCGAAGTCGCTTGAAGGAACGCTCTGGAGCGAATCTGCGCAGCCCCGAAGTTTCCAACTGTTTGGGAAAAACACGTTGCCAACTCAAGAGGTAAGAAAAGGGATGTGTCACAAAGTAGCTGCTTTTGTTCGCATTGCTGCGTCCAGATCACAGACCAAACTAACCGACCAACCAACAATAGCCTTCAAACAATTGCCCGCTGATTAGCGCAATGATCCTGTAATACAGATCACCCCCAAAAATGCATGTTCTTCGTATGAAAGTGACATGTAAAAGGAATGTGGGCGTGTAACTATGTTAATATATGGCTGGTGGGGAGGTTTCTACAAAGGATACACACCATGGAAGTCCACATTTCCCCACATGTGCCTTTCGAATGGGTCAAATGGTACTGTACGTATATTAACTTGAGAGGGTTCAAGTGAACTTGTCCTTTTGGGACGCTTTGGGGCAAACAACCAGCGGAGCATGCACCTCGAGTCTCCTTTGGCCCAAATCAAACATGGAGTGACCCCAACCAACCGTGTTCGAAGGTTCAGAAGGCGACTATAGATAAAAAGAGGTAGTTAACTGGTACCAAGTCCCAAAACAAACCTTTCCTGTTTGGTTTTTTTGAGAGGAACATCCAAGGAATTTGGGGGTGAGCTGCACAAAAATACTTTCTCCCTGGAGTCTCCTTCTGACCTTTGTTTTTAAGGGTCGATGACAACCCATTATTTTGGGTAATTAATGACCAACCATTTTCATTTCGCTCCAGGTCCACCTGGAGTCTCCAAATCTGACCCTGGAAAAATTGGCTGGTCATTAATTCCCCTAAAAAGGTGGGTCATTGTCCCAGTTGAAATGTCGGGTCAGAAACTGGAGACAGGTCCACGGCCCTTGAGCTTCGGAGGCTTCGGCTCGGCGCGCCTGGGCTTCGGCGGGGAGGAGCTGCCGCAGGTGCTGGACGCCGGGCTGCCGGGACTCCTGCGCCGGGCGGCCAAGTCGAGCTGGCTCGAGCGTGGCCGTGCAAAGCACGGGGATCCCATTTTGCTCCCCCAGAAGTAGCTCCCCTTTTAGTTTCTGTTGTTTTTCTAGCTTTGTTGGGGTCCCTTTGTTTTCCGCAAACCTGGCAAAAAAAAGGATCTTTTTTGGTTGGTAGGTGAATTCACCAGCCATTTTAGAACCAATTTTAGTGGTTGGATTGGGATGTTCACTGGGGGTACGATTTGGGTTTTGACCCATAGCCAAGTCGGGCCAAGTCGAGCCAAGTCGAGTCGAGCTCCCAGACGAATCAACCACCACATTCAGAGAACAAAGAAAAAATGCATTATCTGATTCGGAACCCAAACCCCCAAAACCCCAAAGAAATCATGAAGTCATAAAATATTAGGGGTTTCCTGGGAGAAACATATGTGCGGAAGCATCTGTTGGAGAACGCCGCTCCCGATTTTCATAAATTGGGGTGCTTGTGCTTCCAGGCGTTTCGCCACTATAGGTAGCCAGGGCAAACCTTCAAAAGAAGGAGAATGCAGGCTTCTAGCTTTGCTTCTTTCAGGGAATGGGCGATCACCTATTTTCGGGTCCCATGAAGGCAACTGAGAACCGGGTTCCCTATATTTGCCCCTTGGGGTGTTTTTTTTTTACATCTTTGGGGTTCTAGGGTTATGTGTCTGGGCTTGGCGCCGTTTCCGGGCTGTTTAAAGGGAAATCAACCGGATAGCCAGCCAGTCCGGAGGCTTGACACTCGCTGACTGCGACAGACTGAAACACATGATGGATGCCAAACGTGGACTCCCCTGCAAATTAACGGATGGAGCCAACAAGGGTGGTTCCCCAAAAAGAAGGTTCTTAAAGCGGTTCCATGTGAATCTGCACAAACCTGGGTAGAAAATCCGAACTTGGCCCAGCTTTTCTTTTCAATGGATGCCTTTGTTTTGCGTTTGAAAGGACAACCAAAAGGACAATCGCCGCAGTTTTTGGGGCCCGGCCCCACTTAAAAAAAGACAGCACCCGGGTCCCAGTAACTGCTTTTCCCATGCCCAAAGTTCCAAGGAACTCACCGCCAAGCAGTGGTTGGGGGTGCTGGTATATGTGTATGCTGGGGGTGCTGGTATATATGTTCCAGGCCGTGGACCCCCCCCCCCTGTGGGGGTGGGGTGGGTGGGTGGTGGGGTGGTGGTGGGGTGGGGTGGTGGATGCGTGGTTGGGTGGTTGGGTGGTTGGGCCAACCCCCCCCCCCCCTGTGGGGGGTGGGGTGGGTGGTGGGGTGGTGGGGTGGTGGGGTGGTTGGGTGGTTGGGTGGTTGGGTGGTTGGGTGGTTGGGTGTGGTGTGGTTCGGAGTTGGTTTAGGCTTGGTGGGTTGGTTTAGGGTTGGTTCAGGGTTGGTTCAGGGTTGGTTTGCGGTGGGTTTCGGGTGGGTTTGGGTTTTGGGTTGATTTAGGCTTAGGGTTGGGGTTAAGGAGGGGTTGCAGGGTAGTTTGGTTTAGGGTAGGATGTTGCGAGAGGTGCGGGGGTGTTGGTTCACGGGGTGAAAGGGGGTCTGGGACCGAAGCTACAAGGCTCGCACGGTACTGGACAGCATTGCCAGCATCATCCCCAAGATACGGATGATGCGGGGGAGTGGGGGGACCATACCATTGGGGGGGGGGGGGGGTACGTGGCCCAGGGACTGGTACATATATATGTGTATGCTAGGTTATCACCAGCAAAGCGTGATCTGCAGGTTATCCTTTCTTAAAGATCTTGGGCACGATGAAGGTCCCTTACATCGGGGCTATATGCATCTAGGATCCCCCTATTCCAAATTCCCGCCTTCATTTGGGTATGATGTCGATCCTGTACTAAAGAAGGAGGTACTTCCATTGGAAAACCAAGTTTTCTAAAAAGACAACTGAAACAAACATGGCATTTGGAGTAGGGGGTAGAAATTGGTTGGTGCCATGCCCTTAGCTTGTTAGCCTTTTAGTGCTTAGTGGTAGTTTCCATTTGCCCAGATATGTGCTTCTTCTTGCGAGGGAGGGTACAGAGGTTTCAGATCACTTGCTTTGGGCACTTCCTCCCATTCACCAGCTGATTGATCCAGTTTCCCGGCTGGCGTACAGGCCCCTTTTCAAGAGGAACGTCGTTTTCAAGCGGGGCTCGCACTTTGGAAACAAAGGTACTACGATAAACATGGGTGTGTCTTTGTTGCGGCACCCTTGCTGGTACCCTTTTTGGGGGTTGGGCTTGTTCGCTATTTTGGGGTACTATCCACAAACACCAACATGGAAACACTGGGCCAGATTGCTTCAACAAAGCGCATGTCTGAAGCTAGAGACCCACCCTATCAAGGGATGTGGGAGTTCTCAAAACCGTGGTCCCTTAAACTTGTGGGTATCCTTTTAGTTTCCTTTCAATTGCCAGCCAAAAGGGAGTACCATTTTACGAAACTCCTGTGTGTGTGTGTGTGTTTTGAGGGTAACCTTTCACCTTGGGGGGGAAACAGGCACCTGGACCCTCAAACTGCTGTAAAAAAGGGAGCCGGCCCCACGATTTTGGGGCAACATCACATGTTCACGTCCTGTTTCCTGGCACAATAGCCATGGCAAGCTCAACAGATCCATGCCCCTTCACCCAGCTGTTGGTTTTAGCATGAGTCTGTGAAGGGCATTTGTAGGGTAGTTTCATGGCACAGGTATTCTCAAGGGTTCCCAATGCCCGTCTCCGCTCAGCCATTTTTCTGACTCGCCCTAGGGCCCTCGCCCTTTGAAAGGTACACCGCGCATTGCACGCCTGAGCAGCCAAAGCTCCTCCAAGTCCAAACTTTGAACCATGAAACCAGCAAAGAGGTGAACAGGTAAATCGAGAGGTAAGCAAAGACGTAAACATACCTGTCTACTTGAAAGAGGTAAGCAATCGCGGGATTCCAAAACCGTGCTTCCAAGCATTTAAATTTGGGAATACATGGGGTGCTGCCCAAAGAACACTCAGCGTTTGGACATCCAGCTGGATTTGGAGGAGACGATTGGCAAGGGCTCTTTGCGCCATGGTGTTTGCTCCCTTCCATCTGGGCGAGTGGTTCAAGCTGGTGCCGCATCTGGTTCAAGATCAGGGCTGGGATCTGCAGCGACAGGCGTGCCAACGGCAAAAAGTCGTGAATCTCTTGTAAGGTCTGGGCAGAGTTTGCGAATTCGACGAGGATGAAGGTGTCTGACAACGGGGGTCCCTTTTTTCTCAATCGAAGTTTCAGGATTTGACAGGATTCGGGGTTTGTAAGGAAGTCTGGGGGCAAGACCCCATGAGGGTCCTTTCATGGGGATGCAGAGTACTGTTCGCATGTGGCGGATTCCACCTCGACCTTAAATTAAGGAACACAGGAGTTGTCTTTTTGTTGAGGGTACCTGTTTTGCCAACGGGAAGTCACCCGCAATGGAGACTCGGTTCCCTCAAAAGACCAGCAGAAGGTGTAAGAAATCGATGGGGGACTTCTTCGTGAGGACAGGGTGCCAACTATGTTTGAATTTCAACCCTTTAAGGGTGCCTGTCAAACACGTTTTGGGCCGGCCAATGGGGAAAAACCCAGCGCTTCCAGGCGTTTTGCCCCTTTTTCGTAGGCAACCCGGGGTTTCAACCATGACGTAAACTCTGGAAGCGATGTATGCCGAAGGGTTACCTCTTTTGCGGCTTGCACGCCTGGATAAGACACACTTTCTTTCACCCCCCAACCACCCCAAAAAAGTAAAACACAAATAACATATAAACATCAAGCAAACGACAACAGAGCAGCAACCTGAAGCAAAGGCACCTTTTTTTCTTGGGGAGAAGTCACCTGAGCCAGAATCAAACCCCGGGTAGATGAAGGTTAGTAAGGGACGATCCCAACCAGAAATAGGCGTGGCCGCCTTCTTAATCCGTTAAATGGTTCTGGGTTCACCATTTTTGCACCGGGTTTTGATTGTGAGTCACCTGGACCTGGCTGGAGTCTCCATGACCCTTAAAAAATGGTGTCATTACCCAGAATCTTGGTTGGTCATTGACCCATTCTTTATTCGGGTCATGGTGGATACTCCAGGTGATTGAGAGCTTGGCAGCCGAGCGAAGCGAGTTCGAAGTTTTCAGGAGGCGTCGAGCTCTTTGAGCTTCTGCAGTTGCCCCTGGGGCGGGCATCTGCTGCGGGTGAAGGTCGTGGGGATTCAGGCGGATCCCCAGCAGCCCGGCCAGAAAAACGGCTTGCGCCCAGGCCCGCGGGCTTTGGGTGCCTTTTTTTTTTTTTTTTTGGTTGGGAGGCTTCCGAAGCCTACTAAGACAGAAAAAAAAGTCGGGTACCAACTTATTCTAAGCTCTCTACTGGAGGACCTAGAAAAGGCTCGGGCCAGGGGGGTTGGGGGTTCTGGGCGTGGCCCATCATGGCGATTTGGGAAGGGATCTGTGGTTGGTTGAATCTTTTTGGTGTATTGGAGTGAACCACTTCTTGAACAGAGGGGTCAACAGGAACCAAGGGACAGGGGCTTGGCTTGGGGGGCTTGGTTTCGGCTTGGTTTGGGGTTTAGGGTTGGTAAAGGGCGGGTGAAGGATGGGTTGAAGAAGGTATAAAGGGTCCTTAAAAGCAGCTGGAAACCGCGCAGAAAACTCTATCTTTTGAGAAGCAATTTTAGTCAGGCCCACCAGGATTCAGCATCCAGGATTCATGAACCTTTGGATGATTAAAAGTGTGCCTCCAGTAAATTCAGGGGAGTAGAGCTCTTTTCTGAGTTCCGGGCTGTCACAGGATCATCAAACAGGTTGTCTTCTTGTGTGCTTTGGGGCGCGCGTGTTGTGCGTGTGCAATTGTGTGTGTGCAATTGCGTGTGCCTGTGCGTGTGCGCGTGCATGTGCGTGTGCGTGAGCGTGCGCGTGCGTGCGTGCGCGTGCGTGCGTGCGCGTGCGTGCGTGCGTGCGCGTGCGTGCGTGCGCGCGGCGCAGGCGTGGCGGGCGGGCGGGGGCGTGTTGTGTGTTGAGTGTTGCGTGTTG